AACAAGATAAACAGCGGGAACAGGCGACTGAAACTACACCCTCTGATACTGCTCCTGCTGAACTACCCACAAACGTGAACACGCAGAGCTCGGGCGCCACTGGCGGCTGGGCCCATGACCAACAACCACCTATGACGGGTCCGTGCAAAGTTGAATACTGCCCGAGTAAGCTTCCACAAAGCGCGAAGAGAAACAGGCGTGAACCTCTGCTCGCCTTCACTCGTTCAACTTGATGGTAATATCCCCTGAAGTGCATAGAAGCCATGGAGCAAGAGCACCTCTTTATCAGCCCCAGGAAACGCTATGAAAATACTTACATGCGGATGTTTGGGGCTGCTTGTGTCCGTTGTGTGGCCGCATCTGTGTAAATTTAGCTTGCGGTATGCCATTTGAGTACTGCGAGTTCTCCGGCGCTGCCTGTTCAAAGCAAGGGGATGCGAAAGCAGAAGACCCAAATACCCAGGCGTCTGCATTGCAGCAGAAGGAACATGAAGAGCAGCTCTCAAATGAATTAGAAGAGAAAGCCGCAATAAGCGATGCAAAAAGAGGCGCCGGGAAGAAGGATGGTGCGAAGCCGGTGAGCCACCAACGAACTGGCTGTAGCTGAAACGGATAAACAAGTTAGTACTAATGCTGGGATTCGATGGTAATAATATATCTGTGAACTCAATGCGTTTCTGTATATCATTTCTCAACGTTTCTTCTACACTCAGATGCTTTTTCTGTACCTGTCGAGGCAGAAAGAACACGCACACCCGTCACCCAGAAACGATAAGCACTACACTACAGCTCTCACTGCTGCAACGTATAGAGGAATATGCATTTGTTGCGGTATTTATTTTTTGCAGAAAGTCGTGACTGTTCAGAAACAAACGAAGAGAAGAGGCAAATGTGCAACCAACATCTGGGGCCTTGAGCACTTCGGTGCGTTCACTATCATTCCCAGTAGAGAAGCAGCGAAATATGTTTCATCGATTGCAGAGGAATATGAAGAGGAAATTATATTTCTTAGATTACAAATGAAAAGGAAAACATTCTAACCCCCACCATCTTGCTTTCTGTTGCAGGCGTCAAACAAGAACAGGTGGCGAAACTCGCGAGTAAACATTTTGCCTGTGGCTCTTCATTCCAGAAGGGGCAGCCTGGCCAGATGCCATTTGTTGAAATTCAAGTGGGTGGAGCAGTAGAATTCGTAGTATTGGTAGCGGGTTTAGGGTTTAGGGTTTAGGGTTTTTAGGGTTTAGCCCCCCCCG